ACTGCTCTGGAGTCCATTCTGACCCACAGCGCCCCTAGAGGACAGAGTGGAACTGCCCACAGGGTCTCCAAGGCTGTCAATCTTCACAGCAGCTGACCCCCACATCTTTCTCCTACAGAGCCACTGGTGCGTTTGAACCACTGACCTTCAGTTAGGAGCCCAGTGCTTTAACCACTGCACCACCAGAGCTCTTCTAGGTGGATCCTAAGCTTAATCACTTCTGAGCAGCATCTTATAAAAAGAGAATAAAGAAAGACACACGGACACACAGGGAATGGCAGATGCCACAGGAAGCCCCGTCTATAAGTAAAGCAATGCTGAGGGTCGCCAGCAACCACGGAGAACTAGGAGAGGCCACAGAAGAGCTCGCCACGGCTGGGCCCTGAACACAGACACAGTAAACACCTGTCCTTCAAAGCTGCCTCATGCCACAAGTTTCGGCAGCACTTGGTGTCCCTCAGTCAGGAGGGGGTTAAAGGAAAGGCTGGGAACGCACTGTGGGGTGCTAAGCGGCCCCTTCTCCCCTAACCCTGGAGAAAGAACACCGAGAACAGTGTTTACTGGGGTGCAGCACAGCCAGGGCGGTGGGTACCCATCTAGCTCCAAGGACCCCTGGGTGTGGCACAGCACGGTGGTGGGCACCGGCCTGTGCCACACAAACCCTTCTGTACCGGCGGTGGGAACGGAACCCAGGGCAGCCTCCGTGGAGGACAGGCTTAGCACAGGGTTCCACACAGAATCTCCCCCCTTGAGCCCACAATTCCACTCCAGGTCTCTACCCAAAGAAACGAACCCCCGCCCACCCCAAAACACGCCTGCGCGTCCCCCCCCGCCCACCCCAAAACACGTCTGCGTGTCCCCACAGCAGCACAATCACAGCAGGCCAGAGGAAGCAACAACCCACGTGTCCTTCCACAGACGCCAGACAAGAGGAGCTCAGCGTGCGCACCCAATGGACAGTCATTCAACCATCAAGAGAGACGGAGTCCTGGCACACGCTACGACATGGGTGACCCTGACAACATCATGCTCCGTGACAGAAGCCGGACACAGAAGCCAGATGTCACAGGGGTCCACTGAGGTGCCAAGGTCAGAGGGGGCCAAAGCAGGGACAGAAAGGACACTGGTGGCCGCCAGGGCAGGGGAGCGGCTGGAAGTGCTAACAGGCACGGGGTCAAACGTTGAGAGTGGAGATGGATACGCGCCCCTGTGAGTACACTAAACCCAGCGGGTACTTTAACGGGTGGTTGGGAGGTGTGTGAGTTCAGCTCGCCAAGGCTGCTACAGAGCCCTGTCCTCCTGGGTCCCCAGAACCTGCAGGTGGGCGGGGCAGCTGCCCCGGGAGAGAACGGGAGCAATCACTGGGCGCCCCACCCTCTGCACCTCACCGTGGGACCCGTGAACCCGGCTGCAGCAGAGACAAGGGCAGATGCTAAGAGCTCCGGGAAGGAGGCTTCCACGCGGCAGCTGGCCGCTCAGAGGCGGCTTCTACTCATCCATATTTCATGGCCATTAATAATTACAGCTCCCTGCACGACAACCACGTGCCGGGCCCAGGCGCCAGCTCAGTGCTCCTTCTAGACACTGTTACCATCCCCCTTTACAACTGACGAAGCTGGGCTCAGGTTCAAGGGGAGGACGGTCAGTTGGCTTGTCAGGGTCTTGCAAGTGCCTAACCTGGTGCTCCACGTGGGCACCCCCTAGCTCAGGCCCCACTGTCCCACCATGCTGACCGACCTGGGGACAGTCCCGTCTCGGCCTCCCTCTCCTCCTCCCCACTGCCCCAACAAAGGGACCTGCCCAGGCTCTGACCTTACCCGCATCTCCTCCCGCAGGCGAGGCCCCTGCCTGGGCTACGTGCAAGGTGCCAACCGTCCACCCACCAACATCGCACCCCAGGACCCAACCCCTCTCATCAACCTTGCTATCTACATGTCCCCCCGCCCCTGCCCTGGGGCATCAGAGCCCGGCCTTCCCTGCAGCTGCTCTCCATCACTCCACCCTCTGCATGCCATTCCCCCACCATCCCCTAGCTGCCATGTCCTGTTCTATCCTGGACCCATCCACATCCATTCCCACTGCCACCCCCACCCAGGGGAGCCCACACTGGTCCCACCTCCAGACCCCTCCTCTTTGAATGCCCCAGAACAGCCAGCTGTGAAACTGACACCCCAACTTATGCCTACCAAACCCAGGTCTGTGCTGGCGGGTCAATACCCCCATGACACTGCACCCCACTCCCTCTCCCTCCACCCAGAGCCACACTCCCCTCCCCCACCCAGACCTGCACCCAGTGAGCCCTGCACCCCTCCCTCTGCCCCACCCAGAGCCACACTCCCCTCCCCCACCCAGACCTGCACCCAGTGAGCCCTGCACCCCTCCCTC